CATAAGGGACATGAAGCCAAGCCTGACAAAAACAATGGCGAATATGCTTTTTTTTAAACCTTGGGTTATACAATATTAAAAGCATAATTCATAAAGAACAGATTAAGAAATTGATCAAAATTTAAGACTTCTATTCTTAAAAGATATTTTTAAGTGAATGAAAAAATCAAACTACAGACTGGGAAATAACATTTGGAAAGCATAACAGTAAATTTTAACTCTGTACATTTATGGGGCAAGCATTGAGCTCAATGAAGATTTATGTCAAGTCACTACAATCTTATTAAAAAAAAAATCACATCGGGACCAATTCATAGCTGATCCTCTGTTTCCAGAAATTATAAATCACATGGGATGAGATTGCCCATCTTTCTACTGTGTAGTCACTGATAGATTCAATCTGCCTGACCTTGGGTTGGGAGTGCAACTCCTTTCACACTAGGCCATCAGAGCTCCCTTTATATAACCTTAAAAAGTAGATAACAATATTATTCTCATTTCTTATATGAACGACACAAGAAGTTAGGAATACAATTTAATGATACAAAATGTGAAATTAAAAAAGCCAAAAACGGGAGCTCAGGCTGTCAGACTCAAGAGGGCATGCTCTTTCCATCTTCTAGCTGGACTAACCAGAAGGCCCTAAGTGACTATATGAGCAATGCAAAGCTGACTTTGCAGTTCACATTCACCAACTGCTCTGAGGGACAAAGACAAACAATTTCCTCCTGCAAAGACTGATAGACTTAGAAAGCTCAAAGGAGAATTGCCTTGATAGTCATGGCTTTGTGTTGTTTTAATGTAAAAACAATAGACACTTGGTTTTAATGTAAAAACTGCAGACTTCCATACAGCTATCTGAATAAAAGTTTTAAACAATCACCTACTTTTTACTTAGTTTATAAAAAAAAGTTGTTTCATTAGCTTTGGCGGCTCTTGTATGCTGTGAAGTGGGAACTGAATCACTACTGGTCTTCCAGTGGGTTTTCAGAGGCAGTAAATCACATGGAAGGACACTGCCTATCCTTGTCCCACAAAGCAGCTGATGGACTTAAACTGCATGCCTTTGGGATTGCAGCACAGCTTCTTACCACTAGGCCTCCAGAGCTTCCTAGTCTTGACTAGCCCTGCTCCTTCTGATAGCCATTTCTGTCCAGCTATGTTCAGTGTATAACATCCTCTTTCTATAAGTTTTTCCAACACTGGGCAAACCAGAAGGTTATCAGTGTTTCCGGGACTGGTATCAGAAACTTAAACGTAGCACAAGTAAGCCTGTAACACTTGGTGCCTGATAAAGCAGCCTTGAGCTTGAATTGCCACATAGCCAATTTACTCTTCTGGAGCAAGGGACATTGCCGCTGCTGAGTACATTGTGGTTTCTTATGCCCTGAAAGAATGTAGGTTCCTCCTCCAGTGACCACTCACAGCTAGAAAGAGTGACCAAGGCATGCGAACATTCACGTTTATCTGTGTGGCTGAGCCCACCCACTGTTCCACTGCAGCTCATGGAGAAAGAAGTATCAAGTCCTACAAAGGCATTTGGGCTGAATAGCACAATATGCTCGGATACCCTTGCTTCGTGTAAACACAGGGTGATTGTGAATTCTAAGAGCCTGGGTGTTGCAGTTCAGCAAGGGTCTGATTAGCATACAGAATGCAGCCCAGCAAAGGCTGTGGACCTCTTTGTCTGAACAAGGAGGGGTTATCCATGACTCTGGTCACCACGGCCTCTGAGTAATTCCATGAATATTTCATCCTAGGTTCTGAGGGAGGTAAATTTTGGGAGCCAGGAGCACTTTGAGGGCAAAGAGCTCTGACTAGCCCTGCTTGTTATTTCAAGTGTGAGTGAAGCTCTTCTATGTCAAAGAAGAGTAAAACAGGCAGATGAATTTTCTTTACACAGTAGAAATAACGCAGCTGGTAAGGTTTATCCACAACCTCTAATTGCTGAGTTAATTCTGTTTTGATCTATCAGTACCAGGAGTCTTTAGTGAGTTCATTTTTTCTTTATCTCAATTTATTTTTTTAAAGGACAAATACTGCATAACACTGCTGTTATACATAAAATAGAACTAACATGGGAGGTTGGGAGGAGAATATATAGGGAGGAGTAGATAGATAATCAACACTGCATTGTACCAGATGAAGGGAAGAACTGTCTGAAAGACTGATTGCAATATTAATAAAGTTTTTTGATATAATCTATGGTTTTACCTTTCTTGGCAAAGGGAACAAATCTCTTCCACTTGTTGAACAGGTAGTCGTCTTCCAAACTTTCTTTCACAGTTTGGTGAGCATGTCCAGGGCTGCATCTTTATTTGAAACATGTCAATTGGTATCCCATTAATTCTTGGACCCTTATATTTGCCAACACTTTCCGTGCAGCTTGAACTTCTTCCTTTATCCACATTGGCTCTGATCATTTGTTATTCCCTGAAGTATTTCAGCATTGGCCAAACATTTTTTTTTAAATTTTGCACTGGTTTACTTGCAAAGTTTATGAAATTCATAAGACATTGTTTTTCAAACTGGATCTTTCCCCTTTCCTTTATCCATCTCTCATAGGATCACACAATTTGATAGGTGGTAATGAGTCCATCTATAAAACCATGCAAGTGTCTATGAAGAAAAGATCATAAATTTTTTGTTGTTGTTTTTTTGCATAGCTCCTGTTGACTCATGGGTTAAAAATGCAGGATTATACTCCTTATTTCGATTATATAATTTTGCATGGGGTAGGATCATACACTTGCTGGATGTTCTTGATCCTCACTGTCCTCATTAATTTAGCTTTTCTCACTCTAAGTCAACCATATGGAGCATCTCCAACACCACCTGTGGCATGTGGCATCTGCCACACCCAGGACATTTAGGAAAGACCAAAAGAGGGGAAAAGGATTCTTCCATCACTTAATTGTGTCTCAAAAACTAACATTTAAACTTAACTATAAAAAGTACAGGTGTGAAATGTGAATGTGTTGGTAAATTTTGTCAGAAACAAATCTTAGGTTTTCTCCAGTAAAGAGAAAAACCAATGAAACCGAAGGTCTAGCCATACATAAAAACAATTATCATCTGGGCTTCAAGATGTTAGCTTATACCCACTAACCTCTCTAGCTTTTAAAATTAGCAGTATTCTCTTTGTATGCATTTATTTAAATTAAGAGTATATAAAACTACACCTGCATTTAGAAGACAGAGGGTTTTGCTTCCAAAAATGTATCTGTCGACCAGCTACATATGCACTTAAATAAATGATAACACCAGTTGTTTGCAAACAGTTGTTAGAGGCATGCATTAAGGATGAGGGGAGAGGAGGGTTATTACATTTACCCGTGAAACCAGCATTAAATAGTTGCTTCTCATTTCATCAGGAAAAAGGGTTGTGCTCTGGGGAAATTGTATCGCAATAGTCATGAAGCTCTTGTATGACTAAATAGAATACCTTGCCTGCTGCAGGTATTTCAGATGAAGTGAAAGGAATGTTTCTTTACAGGGGATAAGTAGGAAGAGATGAGATCTTGATCTGATTCTATCTCGCATGAAAATGAAGGCACCAATCAATGTCAGTCATGCCTACAAATGATAAAAATTCTCAGTTTAATTAATCTCCTAGAGCGTTTGAAAGTGGGTGGTTAGCAGGGTGAAGGCGCTCAAAACGCCTGAATCTATTGTCTGTGAGGTTTTCAAGCTCATTTTTTTACTTGAAGGGCTCTTTCCCACCCCTCCGCTTGAAGGGTACACACACAAGACAGGACCAAAGTTCACTGTCCAATTTTGTATTGAACCCTTAAAGGACAGCTTTTCCATTCGAAATCTAGTGTGAAAAAAATGTTCTTAATTAACAGAATGTTCTGCAGGGTGGGAACCAAACATAACTCTAGGAACTGGAACGTGAATTTGAATGCTTTTGTTACAAAAGGAGTCTCGACACTACATTGCACGTAAAGCCACGTACCGTAGACTAATACGGGAATTGGTACGTTAATGGCCTAAATTAACTTACAGGTATTAATTTTACATAAAACAGATCAGTATTATATATCCTGTGGAATTTTAAACACTTTTCCCATGCATTTTTAATATTACGTGCTCTAATTTCATGTGCAAGGTGATGATATTTTTTGAGCCCACCTTTGCATTTTCATGGGTAAAATAAAAAACTTACATTTTGTTCTATTAATATGTCTTTTCATCATAACCCTGCGTTAGGCATTCTTTGCCTCTTTTGCTAAGTTCTAGCATTTATAAAGAAAGAAAGGCTCCACATTTTATTCCATTCCATCATTATGGTTTCGTCAATTGTGAAAAAGTGGAAAATGAAACCGGGCGAGGGAGTGGGGAGATACAGAACTGAACGAACATGCCTTCTTGAACAGCGTCCTTCTTGAGGCACTAGCATCCCAGGGACTGGAGTGATGGGTGATGAAGGATTCCTGGGCGCCAGGATACCATGGTAGGATGTTCTCAAGAGGAGCTAAGTGCTCCTTCCAGGGCCTAGGCTGGGACAGAGCTAATTCTAGGCGCACATTCCCGCAGTTCTTCGCAGGAACTTTTCCCTCTCTTTCCCCCTCCCTTGGGCATACACCAGTCTGGCCGCAATCCCACCCAGCGCTTTTCTCAGAGCTCCAGCCCTGGCTTCTCAGAACCCCAACCTACAGTCTTGACGGACTGGAGTGTCCTTCCCATTGGCCCGAACGTCATTCCCTGAGGTGGCACCGCCAGCCTGATTGGCTAGCCACTCCCGACCCCCCGCCCGCCTTCCACTAGAGTTGCCCAGCTCTCCGAACCCCCGTCGGCCCCGCGCGGAGTCCCCGCCCCCGCCTCCTCCCCCTGCACACCCCGCCCCCGCTCAGCCGGCCTGGGCTTGCGCTGCGGCGCGGCTGGCTGGCTGGCCCCGCCCCTGAGGCGCGCGGCACTATAAATACAGCTGCGCGTTAGGCTGGGCTCGAGCCGGGTGGCGGAGGCGCGGCCAGGCATTAGTAGCAAGAACCTGGCAGTCGGGCTATAGTGTGAGCTCCAAAGGGAGTGACTAGCGAATCCGGGTAGGCTGCTTTCTTTTCCCAGTGCTTTTTAAAAATTTTTCTTGCTATTTGACCAGGACTGGGTGTCACCCACTGAACAGAAAGCCCCTCGCAAAACCCGGAGCGACCCTCCCATCAATTGTTGGGCGCAGGAGCATCGCGGTGTCCCAGCGCGCCGGGCCGAAGGCAAGCGGAGCCGAGCCAGTCGTGGGCAGGGACCCCAGCTTCCCTGCTTCCCTCGTTCGTGCAGGCGGGTCTGCTCTCGCAGGGCGCAGGACGCGCGAGATGAAGGCTGTGAGCCCCGTGCGCCCCTCGGGCCGGAAGGCGCCGTCGGGCTGCGGTGGCGGGGAGCTGGCGCTGCGCTGCCTGGCTGAGCACGGCCACAGCCTGGGCGGCTCGGCGGCTGCAGCCGCGGCTGCGGCGGCCGCTCGTTGCAAGGCGGCCGAGGCGGCAGCCGACGAACCGGCGCTGTGCCTGCAGTGTGATATGAACGACTGCTACAGCCGCCTGCGGAGGCTGGTGCCCACCATCCCGCCCAACAAGAAAGTCAGCAAAGTGGAGATCCTGCAGCATGTTATCGACTACATCCTGGACCTGCAGCTGGCGCTTGAGACGCACCCTGCTCTGCTGAGGCAGCCTCCGCCGCCGGCACCACCACACCACCCGGCTGGGACCTGTCCGTCCGTGCCACCGCGGACCCCGCTCACGGCGCTCAACACGGACCCGGTGAGGGGCTGGGTGGGGGCCGGGAGGGCCGTGCAGGATGGCAGAGCGAGGGCATTCCTCCGATTTAGGGCCACCGAGAATGACAGCCACCCCCATCTCCTGCGGGCGCTCAGCACCACTAGTCCTGCTGGGCGAGTGCAGGTCGCGGAGAACAGCGGGGCGGGACTCGGGCTGTCAAGTGCAGCATGTGCCCGAGGGTCTGTGCGCCCTGTGGGCACCCGGGTTGCAGACTGGGGTGTGGTGGGCGGGTGTGCGCTTGCTTCTCCCAGAGCAGTCCACCAGAGCAGTCCGCGCCAGCCCGGGTGCCTGCTGTGCTAACCTTTCCCTCCCTTGGTGTTCGCTTGCTGTTGCAGGCCGGCTCGGTGAACAAGCAGGGCGACAGCATTCTGTGCCGCTGAGCAGCGCTGTCCAGGTGAGCGCGCGTTTCCCCCTTCTCTGGTGGCTGGTCACCAGAGATGCCAGTCTACCGGGGCTTCCGGTGACAGGCCACCCTGATGTTCTTCTGCCGCCCCCCCCCCCCAGCATTTCTGAAGGCACATTTTCAAAGACACAAGCCTCACCACCCACTCGTCCTCACTAGTTTCTCCTACCACCCATCGAACCAGCACTTCGCCTCAGTAACTCAAGATGGGGAGGGTCTTATTCTAAGTGTCCTTCCCTTTCCCTGTGACCAGCGGGGTCCTGCACCCCTTCTAGAAATAAGGCAGCCTCTTGAGCCTGGACACTGTCCCGCTGTCCACGAAAGCAGTTTTAACACTCACAAAGAGGGATGCGGGTAAAACCCGTGCGTGAGTCCCCTCTCCAGGGGACCCGCAGCTGCCTGCTTAGAGCCCGACTGGGCCTCGGGGCTGCGGGTGTTGTCTGACCTGGTTTGTTTTGGGTTGTTGATCAAGCATGTCTTAAGTTTAGTCGGTGGCGCCAGTTAGTCTGCAGCGGGGAAGGTTCACACACCCCCTCTATTCATTCCTCTTCCACAGGTGTGCGGCCGCCTGAGCCCGAGCCAGGAGCTCTAGAGAGGGAGGGGGAAGAGCAGAAGTTAGAAGAAGAGCCACCGGAGGAAAAGGAGAAAAACATCAGCAACCCATAGAAACATTTTCATTCTCCATTCCAGGAGGGCGAGAGAGGAAAGGAAAACAAAACTTTCACCCCTTTTTTTTTGCACGTTCATAAACATTCTGCATAGATCTTCTGTTTTGTCTCTTCATTTTATAGCCGCTGTGAATTGTACATTCCTATGTGGTTTTTTTTTTTTTTTTGGAGGTGCAGTTAAACTTTAAGCCTATGTGTGACAGGACTGAGAAATAAATAGAAGATCAAGAGCAAATTCGACTTTAGAAGCCTACTTTGTGACCAAGGAGCTCAATTTTTGTTTCGAAGCTTTACTAATATACCAGAGCATTGTAGATAATCCTTTCTTGACATCTATTGTTTAAAATAGATGATTATAACGGGGCAGGGAACTTTCTTTTCCTTGCAAGAATGTTACATATTGTATAGATAACTGAGTGACATTTCATACCATGTATATATAGAGAGATGTTCTATAAGTGTGAGAAAAGTATATGCTTTAATAGACTACTGTAATTATAAAATATTTTTAATTAAATATTTTTTGTAAATATTATATGTGTGTTTTTATTTTTAATCTTTGGGAATATTTTTTTTTTAAAAATTATTTTTCAGCTCATTTGCAGAGCTCTCGGTATCTTGAATGTCTTTGCTGTTTGGCTTGGTTTTTAATTTGTTTTTGTTTTGCCCAGTGTTGTAGAATCAGAAGTCACAGCTAGCGCTAGTGGTCCTGCATGACTGTATGAGATGTTTAATCACAAAATAAACTTGTTCTGAGTCCATTCAAATGTGTTTTTTTTAACCTAGATTGAAATATCTGTATTTGGAGCATTCGTGTTGAAATACACTTTTATCTGTTTTTAGTACAGGGTTTTATAGTGTTATACATAAAGAGTGTTTGTTTTTTTAAAAGAAGTCAGAATGGATTCTGAATGATTTTGTAGATGAGATAGGGATCCTTAAAGAGTTTATGAAATCTGTTTATCAAGGTGAAAAAAAATCCTTATCACTCTTCATTTTACGCTAAAGCTTAATGTCACTGAGTTTCATGTCTGTACAGATTATTTAAACCATAGAAATAAAAACTGTTCTCTGCTTGTTACCAAAGGGCAAACTTGAAAAAGAGCACTTACTGCTTTCCTTCCTCCAAAGAATATTAATAGGCAACTGTGGGAGAAAAAAACAAATTAAGAGGCATAATGGCAAAATTTTCAAGCAGGGATAAAAGTCGATCTTCAAACACTAAGTAGACCAAAAATTCTGATGATCACATCTAGATTATTTTTTTATAAAAATGATTTTCACTATAGCTATGTGAGTTACTGCGAAGCTACTGTTCAATCTCTTGTGATGTGTAACTTTTACATGTGAATATTAAAGTAGATTTTATCTGTCTTGTACTGTGATTTCTGGTCTCTTTTCTTGAAAATTTTACTTTTCATTCTTAAGATTTCCTTGTAAGGATGATGATAATTTTGGGGTAACAGCAGATAGATCAGGGTTTGTGAACATTAGGCACTTAATGTGATCAGTACTTTATATACCAGTTAGAATATTAAGAGGGAGACAGAATTAAGTAGGATTTAATTGGATGCTTTGTAAATAGTCAACTATGTGTGTAACATGGTCTGTTTGATATTAAAAAGAAAAAGATTTGTTTCCGATTACATAAGAATAAAAGTATAATAGACCCAAGGGATTTTTATGAGACCAACATCAAATATTTATGAAACGTGGTTTTTAGTAGTTGATATGGCAATGTCTCAACAGATTGGAACAAAGTTAATACTAGGAAGTCCAAATGAACCAAAAGATTTATTAAAAAATAAAATCCGTCTCATTTCTAACATTGTGTTTTCCCTTCAGCCCTGACATTTTACTGGTCTTGGGCACTTTCAGAATTTGATGTATTTCCTGGTGAGCTTGAGAAAGTCAAAAGAACTACTTGTTAAGATGAAGTTTATTTTTTATCTTATTCATTCTTGTCACATCAAGAGGAAAACACTATAACACTGTTGGAATTCCAAATCTGAAGAATTCTTGCTATTGCATTCTTTGTTAATAAAAGGGGGACAATTCTGCCTTTTTATTTCGTGGTTTCATTTCAGTAGGAAGTGTGTCACATGTACACTGTTAGTCTGAGTGAAGCATCTGTCACTGTTGACTGCTGAACCCTGCCTAAGCCCCTGGGCACATTTAAAACTTAGACTGGTGGATGATGATCCTTAAAACAAGCAGATAAATGTTTCTGAGGATAGATTTTTTTTTCCCCTCCTTTGTTGCATTTATATTTTGGCATGAAAAGCTACCAAAGGAAAGGAAAGTATTATCAGATGCAGCCTCTTGGAGAGTTGGCATTTTCCCTTGGCCACTCAAGCGGCATTTGATGTTTCTAAAGAAGCAAAGTCCATTGTTTATAAAAGGGAGGGGGATATGTATATGCCGCTGTATAAAGACACTATATTCCATTAAAATATTGGTTCTGCCATAATCAGGCAGCCAAACAAAAACATTTCAAGTTATCTATCTAGTTCTAATTATTCAGATATTTAGTTAACAGAGGACAATATCCTGACTTATCTCATTCAGTTTGTTTACTCTCCATTGTATAAGCACAATCAAGGAGCAAGAAAAATTTGAAACTGCTAAGGGAGTTAAAAAAAAAAAAAAGTATGCCACACAAGGTAGAAGCTCTTCCTACTGTTATAAAACGCTAATGTTTCAAACAATCTTCCTGTTGAGTAAAGAAAAATGCCTTTCATTTCAAAGAACAGGACACCTTTGATAGTATATAAATTTTATTCAACTTTATCTTCGAGTTCTAATTGCATTTTTCAAATCTTAAAATTTTCACCTCTCCAAAATCTATTATCTCAAGTGCCTTTACAACAATAAATCTCCACTGAGCAAAAGGTTCTTAAGTTGGTGGTTTCTAATTGACTTTTACTGAGTTATGCAATTTTTCATTATCAAGACTGAGTCTCTTGATTGATCACTTCAATTATTTACAGTGTTGCTTACTGTGTGATGAAATATGTGGCTTAGAAGTGGAGATAGAAACGTAAAGAAAATGGAGTAGAATGCTTGGGAAGGCATTTTTCCTTATTCTTTAATGTCTGTTTGCTAAGGCAGTAATTCTACCAAGGAAGACAGCAGCATGATGCCTGGGGACACACACACACACACACACACACACACACACACACACACACACACACAGCAAATAATGCAGACAAATTATTCCACAGAAGTAGAGTCAAATAAAACTGGCTCTGTCTTTCTCTGGGATGCGCTTTAATTATATATATGTTAATCAGCTCAGATAGCCTTTCAGTTTCCACAGAGCCAAACCTCAAGCCTTCCAGGCTCATGAGGAAGGAAATCCTTCCCTATATTGCTTTACAAGTCCAGGAAATTAATTTACTGACTAGAATGACTCTTAATAGGGCTACCCTCAGTAGGTATTCTTCAGACCCAGATAAATTCTTTCAGTGGCAACTATGCCATTTTGGAAAAAAGAAAAGAAAAAAAATGCGTTACATTAATTAGAATGCTTTGCCCAAAAGATTCTGGGATTGTAATTTTACTTCCAATTCAACTCTGGTCAGTAGTACAATCAATATTTTAAAAGCTAAAAATTTCCAAAAGGGAACTCATATGGTTGGTTCAAAAGAGACATACACTAGTTATAAATATCTTAATTGAAAGTGCTCTCAAATTTTCAATGAGTTTTCTAAAGTGAGTTGTGTTTTTGGTTTGGGTTTTTTTTTGGTTTTGTTTTGTTTTGTTGTTGCTGTTGTTCAAATGCCTCCTTTATCCTTGTTAAGATCTTGGCTTGTTCTAAATAGTTTCTCATAAGTGCTAAAACTTTACCTTAACCATATTAAAAAAGGGCTTTTTTTAATCACCAAAGCAAAGCAATTTAATATTTAGGCTGCTAAAGTTCAATCCATCATTTATCATTCCTAACATTAAATTCATACAAGGCGATAAGAAAAGAGGTTCATAAAAATGGAAGTTAATATGAAATAGTACACAAAACAGTAAACATGTCTTCCTGGAGAACAGAATACTAAACTGAAATGTAAAATCAGAAGATGTTAAAATGGTTAAATAAAGAGGCTCAAGCCAGATTTTCCCTGGGAACCCAGTTATATCCAATTATTTTCCCCTCAGTAAGAAATTTCATACTTTAGAAACAAATTTTCTGTGAGATTACCTAAGTATTGGCAAGATATGCAAATGGCTCATGAACTAAGATAATATAATTTGCTTCTAATTTCTGTTTTTCAGTTCTTTTTTAAAGACAAAACATAAACGGGCACTTTTAGGATGCTTATACAATTTAAAATTGTCATTTTCTTTTATTATATTTCGTTTCTAACTTGTAACAGCCTTATGGTTTTATGCAAGCTGGAGGGACAGCACAGGACAGGTAGGCCCTATATGAGGTGGATTGATTCAGTGACTGGGATAATTGGGATGGGAGTGTCAGAGACAGTGTGATTGGCACAGGACAGAGCGGAGTTTAGGGCTGTTGTACATAGGGTCGCTATAAGTCGCAGGCAACTCGACGGCACATAACAACAACAACAACTTCTATTTTAGACTAGTTCTTAAATATTTACTAATGTGTATTGCCTTAAATATTTACTATTGCCTTTATAGGATTTACCAAACAATTAATGATGTTGCTCTGTGTGTCATTAATTAGTCCTATAGAGTTATTAGCCATCATACAAATAGCCAGAATAACTTTCGAAAGGGAATTTCACTCTAAAAACAAAATTAGACCTTACTACTCCTTCCCTTCCCTTCTAACTGCTAACAGTTTTGATTTACAGGAAAGTATGTACCTGACCCCTATCCATCTGTTCTGATGGCTGTCACAAGAGTTAAGTGCTCAGCTGCCAACCAGAATGTTGGGAGTTTGAGCCCACTGGCAGCTCCGTTAGAGAAAAGACCAAGTGATTTTCTCCTACTAAGATTACAGTTTCTACTCTGCCATATAGGGTGGACATGTGACAAAACAATAGCTAATCATGTTCTGTTTAGCATATGCTAGTACATAAAAAGAACACATAAGCCAATTGTCAAAGCTGTCGTCTAGAATTCTTTTTACTCTCACAAGTATTCTTAAGTTAAAAGTCAAGGGGAAAAAAAAGATGGAAATATTTGCTTGTTAAAACCTCAAGGAAACAGTTGTAAATTTGTAGACGTAACTTTTACACGCTTCTTAAACAATAATTCTTGAAATGCTTTTCATACATGTTGGACCTGTGTTCGCAACTGTTAGAATAACAAAGGGGGCTCCTTGGCAAGGAGGCTTCCTTTCATGCACTGTGATGCCCACCCAAAATAACAAGACCAAAAATAAAACCACACTGCCAGCTCATAACGGACCCTCTATCAGTTTCTGAGACTGTAAATGGCACAGGAGAAGACTGCCTATGGGTCTCCCTCAGAGCCATTGGTGGAAGTCTCCTTAGTGCCCATTCTTCCCAGTGCTCTCAGTTACTTCTTATTTTAAAAAATCTCTGTTGACATGAAATTGGTCTTCAGAACAATATTGCTGTTTCTAGATGGGGAAGTGCTTGTGGTACAGTTAATAGAGAACTATGCTGATACTCCAAAGGAGACACCTCCGTCATGGTTCAAATGCACCAGCAACTCTGCAGGAGACAGCTGAGTGATCCCTCGCCGCAGAAAATCCCCAGGAGGGTCAGCTCTGACTCAATGAGTGAGTTGAGAGCAAGTTGTTAGGTGACTTAGAAATGACATTTTATGGTTTCCACTAAGCCTGCTCTTCACCTTGGACTCTTGACTTAGGCTAATGGCACCTGGCCTCCTCAAATCAGAATCCTGGGAATTACACTTGACTCTCCCTTGTTCTATATATTCAATCAAACAGACAAACTATATTCATTGCAATCAAGTCCTTTCCAATTCATAGTGACCCTGTAGGATAGAGTAGTATTATACTGTCTCATACAGCTTCATGTAATCTTCACATAAGCAGACTGGTACATCTTTCACCTATCGGACAGTTTTGATGGGTTTGAAATACCAACCAATAAGTCAGGGGGCAAGTGCCTAGCACTGTGCCACTAGACTTCTGTTCATATTTAGGAAGGTACAGAAATTTTAGCTGAAACTCTCAAATGTTTCCCAACATCCCTGCTGCTACATTTTTGCATTCTCTCCAACTCTTGAAATCATCTAGTCTGTTTGTCTCATCTTTCCCCATCTCTTTTCTATCTTCTGTGTGAATCTACATTCCTCTTCAGCAGCTATCTTTTTCCCATGGGTTAAAGTCAGCCACCTCTGTGGACTGGCAGACAAGGCCCCTATGACCTGAGTCTACAGACCCTTCAAGCATCATTTCCCACCAGTCCTTGCT